GATTTATTGCCTCAACTGGCAGCATTTTCAAGCCTAGTTTGTCTCATTTTCTTTATATGATAGAAGAAAAACATACTATTGCATATTAGCTTTGACAATACCTCCAATAATTTCACTTTTACATTTTTATACTGACATTCCATTTATATATATATATATATATAATATATACATACATATATATTAATGTGTACGAGTGTTTGACTGCATGTATTATGTGTACCACATGCATACCTAGAGTGATAGTGGGGGCCACAAGAAGATGTAAGATTCCCTGGAACTGGAATTACAAATGGTTATGAGTGTCCATGTGGGTGCTGGGAACCAAACCCAGGTCCTTTGCAAGAGCAGCCAGTGCTCTTAACCCCTAAGCCATCTCTCCAGGCCTTCTGTGATTCACTTTTCATTCCAGTACATGCTATTTAGTTTTTTTCAGCTGGCAATCATTTGAAAATATTGTCATTCCAGACAGGAAATTAAAATTTACCTAAGGGTAGCCCTGTTCTTAGTTCATTCTTGACATAAAAATATAATAATCAGCCAGGCATGATGGTCCACACTCAGGAGGCAGAGGCAGGCAAATCTCTGTGAGATCAAGTCCAGAGTGGTCTATATAGCAAGCTCCAGGACAGCTGAGGTTAGAGGGAGACTGTGCCTCAAAGAAAAGAGGGGGGAGTAATAATCTATCAGAAAATAAAAGCAATCAAATCTTCATGTACCACTCAACAAAATACCTCATGTGAGCAAACAGGATTGTTAAAGGAAGATACAGAATGTAAGCTGATACAGTAAGAATTTTAGGATCACACGTAGCCCAGACTCACCTTTATTCCTGTTCCTAATCTCTACCTCTTAAGTGCTGGGATTCCAGATGTGCCCTACCACTCACAACAGAGTAAAACACAGCGGCAGTAAGTCACACCAAGGGATTTGTTGAAGAGAGTCAGCGGGTCAGAGCGGCAGACCAAGAAGTTGAGATTGGCTGGAAAACACTCTAGGCAAAAAGACAAGGAAGAGACCCCGAGAGCAGCTTCCACAGTCAGGTACAGGGAGAAGACGGAGGTCTGACTTTGGAGCACTGACTTTGGAGGCCCATGAGGGGTGTTTGAAGATGTGCCTCGCAAACTCAATGTCCGAGAAAAAAGGCCTACGAAATGTATTGGTCAAGCAGTGGTCCACTTTACAAAGCGATCATTTGCAAAACTGACACACCTTTTTTCAGCATTGCTGAAAATGGAACCCAGGGCTTTAAGGCGTGCTAAGCATGTGCCCTATCGCTAAGCTACATCCATGGTTTTGACATATTTTCACAGATTATTTATTTATTTATACTTATTTACATTGGGGGAGTTGCATGTGAGGGTCAGAGGGCAGCTTGTGTGAGTCCATTCTCTCCTTTCACCCTGTAGGCTCTGGGGATCAAACTTGGGTCACGAGGCTTGGCAGCAAGCACTTTCACCCCCTGAGCCATTTCACCAGCCCCAGTTCTATGATTTTTTTTTAAACATTTAAATTAGATGCAACCTTTCAGAAACCCATCAAAAGCAAGATCCGTTTATAATGTAGCTGAAAGTAACTTCTGTGTGATTACAGAGTAGCTAAGTTGCATTTTTACTGGCAGACACATGGGAAGGAAGCCCAAGAAGAGAGTGTTTCTACTACAATTGCCACTTGTTTATTGTTCCACTAGATATGCAAAGAGCAGGGATTATGGCATCAGAATGGAACTAGATTGGGGCAACATCTGGGTTCCTGGCCTCAAGAAGATCTACTTTCCTCCAAAGCATCTTCTGCACTGAAGGCTTTGGGAGATGCAGTAGGTACATTCATCACATGATGATAATCAAGTTCCTTTCTCAGGCTCAAGGCCCCTCCATGGGCAACCGCAGTCACTGCTGCTAAGATTCTGGAAACTTCAGAATGGCCCATGGCCTTCCTGCTGCACAGTTACACAGCAGGACCCCAAGCAACAGTGAAACACCCTCCCTTCCTCCTGTAGCTTCCTCCAGTGGCTGCTAAGGGTCATATGGTAGAAGTCCTCAGTGGTAGAACACTATAGGATACTAGCATGTGCGAAGCCCTGAGTCTGATCCTTAATACTGGGGAACAAAAGAGTCTGTGTTTAATATCCACAGCACCCTCTGCACAGGACTCAGAACTTGGCCCACAGGAACTAGACCAGAAGAGACAGAGAGAAGGGGGAAACAACCTTTGGTTCTGGACTGAGTTTTGCTGGTTGATTTTTTTAACCTCTCAGACAAACTCTCTCCCTACAGACTTCTGGCAGGCATGACAAACCAGGCCATGGGCCCTTGACTCAACTTCCACCCAGACCTGGATACAACTCCGGCCAATGATGTGAGACTTCCCATCCCTTCCCTCCCCAGCTCAGCAGCCATGCAGAAATAAAACTCACAAAAAGACAGGAGGACCCATGAAAGCCCAAAGGAACAGGCCAGGATTAGAGGCCAACTTCTTGGACTGCTCTCAGAAGAGTCCTGTCAATACGGAGTGTGCTTAAAACAAAGTGAAGATGTATTTGACAGATGGAGAACTGATGAAGCAGATTGATAACTGGGTATGGTGATACATACCTGAAATCTTAACACAGGAAGGTGAGGCAGGAAGACTGCAAGTTCAAGGTCAGCCTGGGCTACATACAAAACTGAGTCAAAAACAAAACAAAACCCCAGCACGCTCCCTGCACTGCAGTGTCTCAGAACAGCCACCAAGAAGCAGAAAGATGTTTGACTCTTTTCAGCCTTGCAATAATTCACCAGCCAAATGCTGATTTTAAATTACAGTCTTTCCCCTGACAGTAACTTTGAGTAGCCTGTTTCTAGTTCTCAAAGTCTGTGTTTACAGGCTCACACCACTACACCGAGCTCTGCATCACAATAATAACCAGATAGGCTACCTGGCAGTCAATCCCCTTTCATTCTCTAATCCCCCACATCCAAAACATCCCTTGCCTTTCAAGATACTCCCTGATAGGAGGAGAGCAGTCAACCAGTAGATATCTAACTCATCTGAGGAAAAAGTTGGGTTTTGATGTCTCCTAACCAAGCCATTCAGAGCCCCTCAATCAGGGGATGAGAGCCCCTTACCTAATCTGATCTGGTCATTCCCTTCCAGTCCTACCCAGCTCTCCTGACAACAGCTGGCAGGCCTCTGAGAGAGTCAAAGATATACTTCACCCTGATCCAGAACAGGCATGTAGATCGCTTCCCAATGAGCCATCTTTGAGGCAAAAAGGAAACTCTCTGAAAAAGCTGTCAATTTAATAGCTAAAAGAGTGAATTTCAAACAGCCACCAGCACTGCTGCCTGCTGCTCCTTCCTAACTAGATACGATCTAGTTTCTAGAATCATCTCAGCCAAAGGTTGTTTTCCAGCCCCCTCATTTCCCCTTCCAGGGCCTGTCAAGGGCCTACCCACATTCATATAAACATCACACGCACGCATGCACAGACACTATTTTATAACAACACTGCAGTTCTCCTGACCCCTCCACTCTCACCACCCCCTTAGCTCCATCCCCTGCAGGTCCTGATACTAGGCACACATGTTTAATCCAAATCCCGTTTCCATTGGGTTTGTCAATGTCCTTGAGGCTCTTATGTGTTTTGAAAAGTCTCACCCACAGCAAGGAGACAAGGGTGCTCCATTTTCCCTGTGCACTGTCTTGGTTTGTACCCTCCATGCTCCTGTCTGGTATGGGAAGCAAGTTATTCAGTCTAATTCCTATCTTTTGACCCTGATTTCCTTGCTGCTCCCCAATCTAATTTCTCACCAGGAGCCCCTCATTCTCTCTTCCTTCTGTCCATGTCTTCTGTGTGTGTGTGGGGGGGGGTATATGTACGTATTCACGTACATGTGTTCTTGTTGTACCTCATCCACTGGACCCCAAAAAGACCATTGAGGACCCAACACACCAAAATGCAAAAGCAAAGGTTTATGGTTTATTTGGGCTTAAGCTCGGGCTCTCAGACCTCACCAACGCAACGGATCCGGATCCGTGCTGAGAGCCCAGAGTAAGGGAGAGTGGAGCCTTTTAAAGGTTTTAGACAAAGAGAGGAGGGGGATACCGAAGATACATTTTGGTTGGTTCAAGGAGCCCGCGCGCGCCAACATAATTTTAAACTGATTGGATGTATAAGATGCAGCCCTGGAAGTTTCTTATTGGTAGGTGCTATTCTCAGGGCTGTGGAATGTGCTGACTGTTATCTGTGGGGCCAGGAGTCTCTGTTTTTACCTTATAGGGAAGTTTTTGTGCCCGGGCTTGCTTAATCTATAGTTTCCTGGAAGGGGGGGGAATAGCGGATGGGGCTCAGGGCATGCCAGGGCATGTCTAGGCATGTCTAAAGCAGCAGCCAAGCATTTTACAGAAGCTAAAATAGCAATTAGTGGGGGTCTGGAGGGATTGGGGGGTAGCGGGTGAATGAAGAGGGTCTCAGGGTTCTATATTCTCAGGATCTAAACTCAGTTTCTTTCATTTGGGAACCAAGCCATCTCCACAGCTCCCCATGCCACCCGTTTTTCCCAAACTCTTTTAGACAGGTTTCTCACTAAGTTATCTAGGTCATCCTTGAACCTGAGATCCTCCTGCCCCAACTTCCTGAGTAGCTGTAGATTATAGGCCTTCAACAGACTCAGCAGGAATCTTGAACAAAAAACGGTGTTTCTTCTAAGCTGCCTCAGGCCATGTGCAGTCTGCTTGTTAAATCTGGTGCATTTCGTCTTTGCACATAACAGAAGCAGAAACTGAATAAAGAGGCTGGGTATGGGGTGCTAGCCTATAATCCTGAGGCAGGAGCATTGCTGGATTTGGGTCAGTTTAGCCTACACAGTGAGTTCCAAGACAACCTGAGCTACAGAGTCTGCCTCAAAAGACAAAAGAAAAAAAGGGAGGGAGGGAGGGAGGGAGGGAAGGAGGAGGAGGAGGAGGGAAGGAGGAGGAGGAGGAGGGAGGGAGAAGGAGGGAGGGAGGAAGAAAAAGAAGACAGCAGAGAATAAATGAACAGGTGATGACCAAGGTACTCTCTAGGCCTCTAACTGAGCGTTTACGGGGAAATTCATAAATATTAAGCTCAATCGAAGGCAGCAAAAGCTTCCTCTAAAAATTTCTGGCTACGAGTTCTAGATACTGCTTTCTCCTCCGTTATGTAACGGAGAGCTGAATTCTGGATCAAACTTCCATTAAAGATGATTTTTATAGTCAACGAGCGACGTCAGGAGTGATGACACCAGAGGCGGTTCGACAGAGCCCGTGTTGAAGCCAGTCCTCCGCGGTGACTCATCGGCAGGCCGGGGAGAACCGTACCTTTAGGGTGGAGGCGGCCAGGCCAGTCTCGGCTTCGCTCTCCCCGGGCCCCGCCCGTCCGGCTCCAGTCGCTGTCAACCGCCGCCGCGAGCAACGCTCCCCGAGTCCGAGGCAGGTAAGCCGGGGACCTCGGGGTGGCTCGCCGCGGTCCGGGAGGGTCGTCCTCGAAACCCTCCGGTCGCTCCCCTCCCCGAGGCCGCGGTGGCGCAGTCCGGCCGGCACCGCCAGGCGAGCGGTGGCGGGGGAGGGAGTCGCGGGCCCAGGTCGTCCCTTCCGGACACCTTGCGGTCCGTGCTGCGCTGTCGTCGCGGTGCTGCCCGGCCCGGCCCGGTCCCCGGTACCGCCCAGCAGTGACCCCAAGGCTCTGCCTTTCTCTGCGGGCCTTGGAGGCAGGCCCGGTCCACCTGGGCGGCAGGAGCCTGCGGGGTTCACTGGCGAACAATGGGGAGGGGTCTTCTTTTGACTGTCCTTTTGGTTATTTTCTTCCCCCTTGTAGTACTTTAGTGATCACGATTATGCCGGTGGTTTCATCCAGCCGTAGCAACACCAAGTCTAGGCTTTCTGTTGCAATGCAATTTCACTGCCCTGCCTCCGATGTCTTCATGGCTGTGTTTTCTTGTAGTTTGAATATCGTGACTTATTAATAAGCAGTTGCCCCTCCGCTGAACATTTGAGGTGTTCCCAGGTAGACTGGGATTAAAGGCTTGAGCAAATCTAATTATTGGAAAAAATGGGAACAGAACATTCCAATTGAAATATCAGGCATCTGGAAAAATGGAACCTTCGGATTTGAAAAAGACAGAACAAACAAACAAACAAAAGCAAGAAAAGGGAGTGCTTCACTGCCACACAGAGCAGCCTCGGAGAGGGAAAGGAGAAACTAGCGTGGGATTTGGATTGTATTTGTATCTAACACGAGCTTTCCATGTCTGAAGGAAAAATACCAGGGCCATAGTAGTGAAATGGTGAATCATTTTCGGAATAAGGTAGTGAAAGCCAAGTTTGCTGTTTTTACATCTACTAAATTGATGAAAACAGTACCAGTGACCTTACTGGGAGCTGGCCTGAACCAGCCATGTTTAGGTGTGGGGCACATGGAAGGTTTTAGATCTAGAAAGACGGATGTGCAGCTTCACCTACTTTCTGTCATTCATGCCTAAGAAGGAGAAGATGCTGCCTCCTTCTGGATTTGTTGCAAAGGTTAAGCCTCTGTAAAACTGACTGTAGACTGATCACTCACTGCCTTTGGGGGCGCTGTAAATCAGACTTTTGTTTCGCTCAGTGCTTGGTTTGGAGTGTGTTTGTTTACATGTTTGTGAGTTTGTCAGGGTTCTCAATATATAGCTCTGGCTGGCCTAGAACTTGCTGCATAGACCAGGCTGGCCTCAAACTTGTGGCCATCCTCCTGCCTGGGAATGCCACCAGAATGCTGGGACTACAGGCATGAACCACCATGCCCAGCAGTACAGCAATCTGGTAATGTATTATTAGTTGCAAGCAGTGACCTAGAAACCCTACTTCTGGCAATTTACCTGCAATGGAAAAAACAAACAAAGGACTGTGTGGGAGCCATTTGCCAAGTGGAATGACCTAAAATTAGAACCAACTGAGAAACAGCCTAAATATTTAACAGCAGAGCAGCTAAGAAATCCATGACACATTAATGAAAGCAGCCTTAGTCATGAACACTCATCATTTTGGATTTCATGTATCATGGGGGGAAAAACAAAATCCAAATGCAGGCCATGAGACTGTTTGACTCCTACCTCCGCCCCTGGTTGTATATGAAAACCAGTAGGAAATGGAAGTGTTCTTAGAAACAGTCTGATCTTAACTTTCTTTTTGTAGCTGTATGGTTTTCACTAATACTGTTTTTTAAATAGCTGACAGGCATCTTTTCTTGAAATTCTAGGGACTGAACCCAGGGACAGTTTTCCATTTTTTTATTTATTTTGAGGCTAAATACTACATATTTTGAGTTTCTTATTTTCATTGTAGATGTAATGTTTTCCCCCAATGTATCTTTAAAGGTAGCAGATTTCAAAACTGTACATGTTGATTCCAAGACTGCTGTTCTGATAAGCTCATTTGTTTTTTCAGAGACCTTTCTAGATGACTTTCCATTGTTTTCCAGATAGAAAGTCACAACCATATGAATTTCTGAATAATCTAGTAACAGCAATAGACTTGACATTTCCATCACTGTTAAATCATTAAATTACAATAAATATGGACTTTTTTTGTGGCAGTCACGCTGCGGCCCTCCTGCCTCCACATCCTAAGTGCCGGGGTTCTCGGCGGCGTGCGCCACCATGCTAGCTCTGTGGTAGCCATTCCTGATGATGATGGAGGGACTTCCTTCTAGACCTGTATAAATTTATTTTTCTTTTGGACACTGGAGATCAAACCAAGAGCCTCATACACCCTAAGCACACGTTCTGGGCCACACACTTACTCTCTACAAACTTTTTACAAATAGATTAAACTCTTAAAAATCAGCAGATGCTAATTTTAATCAAAAACTTTTTAGCATCTTCAGACAATCTTGTTTTTTTCATCCTTAATAGATTTCCTGATTTTGAGCCATTCCTTTATTCCTAAAATGATCCTTACTGATCTCAGAGTATTCTTCTTTTACTAAACTAAATAATTAGTTTTATTGCTAAGGGCTGAAGACCAGTCTTCATACTAAGTTTTGAATGTTGGACATTTATCCCATTGGCTATAAACACACTATCAGATGAAGATGCCCAAATGTTTAGTTTACTGAATTCCAGATCTTTACAATGTTAACATGGCCACACTAAGGACCAAGTCTCCAACACATGAACTCTTGGAGGACAAACCACATTCAACCATAGCAGTAATCAGGAAGTTATTGTGCTCTGTGTGTGTCTGTCTGTCTGCCTGCCTGCCTGCCTACCTGCCTGTCTGTGTGTCAAGGTCCTATGTAGCCCAGGGCTGGCCTCAAACCTGCTATACAGCCAAGGATGACCTGGAACCCCTGTTGTTCCTGCCTTGACCTCTCAGTGCTGGGGATTATAGACATGAGCCACTGTGTCCAGCTCAATTATTATACTACCAATATTACATTGCAATATGTAAATTTGTACCATGATTTTGCCCCATTTTTTCCCTGTGGTGACTGGTCAGTTCTAGTTTTCTATTTATTTTTTCTTTTATTTTTGTTTGTTTTCTGTTTTCTGTTTTTTGGAGACAGAGTCTTACTCTGTAGCAAGGGCTAGCCTAGCATTCACTGTAGCGCCCAAGGTAGATTCAAACTTGCTGCAATCCTCCTACCTCAACCTCCTGAGTACTGGGATCATACCTAGCTCCATTTCTTTTTTTAAAAAAGCATGTACTAGCCGGGCGTGGCACCTTCAATCCCAGCACTTGGGAGGCAGAAGCAGGCAGATCTCTGTGAGTTCAAGGCCAACCTGGTCTCCATAGGGAATCCAGGCCAGCTGGAGTCACAGGGAGACCCTGTCTCAAAAAGACCAAAAAAAAACAACAACAAAAATCATGTACTAGTTATTCAATACAGATATATTGAATGAATTCATTTTAAAATTGATTTTTATAACATATTAACAGAAATGGTGCCTGTTCCACATAGATTTTTTTTAATTTATAAAACAAATATGAGGGCTGGAGAGATGGTTAAGCGGTTAAGAACACTGGTTGTTCTTGCAGAAGACCCGGGTTCGAATCCCAGCACCCACATGGCAGCTAACACTTTCCGTAACTCCAGTCCCAAGGGATCCGACAATAAATAAAATATTAAAAATATTAATAAATAAATAATAAATATTTATTTTAAAAAATATGGTACATATTTACTATCCTTTCAACACTGCCTCTTTCTAAAGTTATTTTCTGTTTCTCATTCCCAGCGTGGAGCTGCCATGTTTTGGGGTGGTTTTATTTTTTTGATACTGGGAATTGAATTCAGTGCCTTGAGTATGCTGGCCATGTGCTGTACCACTGAGCTGTCCCACCTATTTGCTATATTTTCTAGTCACGTATGTGTGTTTATATTGTAATATAACTCTTAATTTTATTTAGAAAGTTCACATACTCTGAATTTTATTTATTAAATTCTATTTTTATCTCTATTATTTCTTAAAACTAAGACAGTTCATTTTTAAATTTTCTCTTTCTGATTTTTTTTTGTGTGTGTGTGTCTTTTTGAGACTGGATCTCCCTGTAGCCCCAGCTGTCCTGGAACTCGCTATGTAGACCAGGCTGGCCTTGAACTCACAGAGATCCACCTGCCTCTGCCTCCCGAGTGCTGGGATTAAAGGCGTGCGCCACCACGCCCAGCTCTGTTTTCTTTTTTAAGTTGAAGAGTCACTTATTTTCATTCTTTCTGTTCATTTGTCCCATCTTTTCTCCCCTGACAGCTATGTGGGTCCCTTATTCCCACAGCTCCGCCCTCTTGGCATCATTCAACTTCCCATTTATTATTTTGTCTCATTTTATCTGGTTCTTAATGACTTTTAATATGTTTTCATCTATTGCCATTTGGGTCTCCCATGCCTGTAAATTAACAGTTTATATCTTTACCCATTTTTCTCAGAGAATTAGTATCTGATTTTTCGTAGAACTTCCTTGTAGATTCTAGAGATGAACCTCTGTTTGGCTTTAAATGCTGCAATTTAATTACCGCTGTGGGCGTGTTCTATTACTCTGCCCATGGTGTTCTTCATAATAATCGAAGAAGAATTCTTAGTTCTTGTGTAATCAAAGTCTCCCCTCTTTTCTGCCTTCTGGTTTGTGATTTTTTTGTTTAGTCCTTTTCCCACCACTGGCTCACAAAGATGCTCATTATGGTTTCTTCTAATACCTTACTTTTACTTTTCATATTTAGATTTTTGGAACTGTGAATTATTTTCATTCTTCCAAATTCTTTTTTTTAATTCTTTTTTAAAATTTTATTTATGTGTATGAGTGTTCTGCCTGCATGTATGTAAGTGCAGCCATGTTGTGCAGTGCCCATGGAGGCCAGAAGAGGGCATCAGATCCCCTGGAACTGGAATTATGAATGGTTGTTAGCTGCCATGTGGGAGCTGGGAATTGAACCCAGGTCCTCTGCAAGAGCAGTCAGTGCTCTTA